TGTACGCTTCCATCTCTCCGGCCGCGACATGCGTCTCCTGCAACAAGAGCACATCTGAGTTTCCATGGGAGTCCGATGTCCCGAAAGCCGTGAACCAGTTCGATCTCTCCTTTTCTGTCGCACCGAGTCCATTGACATTTTGTGTAATGATCCCTAACGTTTGCTCTTCTGGGTGAAGCTGTTGTTCCGCTAGTTTTGCCGCTCTGGCTGCGTCCTTATCAGCTTTCCTTCTTCTCTTCGTGCGCAATTTCTTGTCTTGCGCAAAATGTTCGTCTAGTGCAGTGGATCGGTCTGTTACTTGTATTGGGTCAAAAAATTTCCGCAAGTCCTGTGTTTTCGCGATGTATCCCCACGTAGTATGTAAAGGTTTTGTGTAGTTTCTTGTAATTGGGTCTGTATTCCCCTTCTCCTCAGATCCAGCACACTGCCCGTTCCAGCTGCTTGGACCGTCGGAGTCGACGTATGCATGGGCAGTGATCGTTCTATGGTGGACAAAGGCGTCAGCGCAGGCTGCTTCCCCTGCGGTGACGTTGCTGGCACTGCGGTGCCTTTATTTTCTGGTGTCCTGTGGGGAGCTCTCGACTTCATCCTCCCTATGAGCTCCCCAGGTTTGCCCCGTCGGGGCTAACGTTGCTGCACTCCAGTCTTGGTGATTCACTATTCCGTGGCATAAACTGCGGATGAATGAGAACTTTTCGTACCATATCAGCCGGGCGACGTGTGGAGCACGCCCCATTGGTGTATATTGTCAGTCACTGACCACGTAGGACATCACGTGAAGAAGGCACCATTCGGTGTGAGGTAGACCTTCCGGTTGTGCCCGACAGTAGCTGTCTAGGATCCTCTGGGCTAACCTCGCCCACCTCTCAGGAGACACAACCAGATCACTGGCTGCGACCGAGTCGTCACCGCACTCCAGATAAGCTGTAAGCCACTCTTCGCAGTACTTTCGGGGGCTAGCGTCAAACGTGTCGTCTCCTGCCAGCCGCTGTATTGCTGCAAGTCGCTCATTGTGGAGCTCAAGCTCTCCCCACTTGATTAGGTGAGCCAGGGCCCAGTTCTTGGCCTCGTGTTCCGGATAAGGTAAGAAAGCAAACAATTGCCGTAGAGCCTGGTGGTCTTTGAGTAGCCATTTTGTGATATCCGTCGGTCGCGATCCGCGTCGCTTAGTGAGAGGGATCTGAAATGTCTCTCTGAAGAGTACACCCCATTTCGAGAAGGCCTCTAGATTCGCCGCAGCTATCAAGTCCGCAAGAGGCACGTCTTCCTCATCCATTGAAACTGACTTCGATGCGCGCAAGAGTCTGAAGTAAGTGTTTTGGACAAGATCACCATAGGCAGGGCGAGCGTAACGTGTAGGCATAGACCAGACTTCGTTCCCGTTAGTCTCATCCTGCTGAGATCCAGTTGAGTAAGCGTCAATCCCGTACGCGGTGTGAATGTGTTGTTCTTCCTGTTGGAGATCTGCGTCCGAGGCGATCGGGCGATAAGCCGCATCAAGGATGGGTCGTCCGAGTCTGGCATGAACGACATGTAGCCGGGCTCTCATTTCTTGACGTTTAATTTGAATGGAGTTGACGTCCGCTCTGTCCGCTAGTTGGTTTACTGAGGCCAAGTCCATGGTGCGTTCGGCGTCTGTCAGGTTATTCACATCTTCCTTCCATGAAAACGTGTCCGAGATGTCTGCAGCAAACGCTGGGTCTCCTTCCGCCCTCCATTTGAGGTATAGCTCCCCGTGTCCGACTCCATAAAAATGCCGTTCGTCATGCCTTAAGACCAGAGAAGTTGGGAGGACGTGAAGATCAAAGCTGGTTCTACGATATTCTGTTGCTTCCCTGTCCGTGAATGCCGCGACATGTCCGCTTTCATGATCGACATTGTTTGGGAGACGGTGAAGTTTGTATAGGAATCGTTGAATGTGGGCGTCGTTAGAGGATCTTGTGTCGAACACCAGTATGGGTTCTCGCAAGTACTGCGCCATCGCTCGAAGTTCATGAGGGCCAGCCCAGTGGTATGGCGGCACTCGTTCTCCAGCTGATCGTAGTCTGGCTCTGTCGTAGTGAGCAAAGAGCGCTGCAGTGGCCCCTTCCTTGGATTCATAACCTGGGTGGTCAGGATACAGCCGAGCGCACTCCGCTATAGGATCGACGAGACCTAGCGCGACATCATTGCGTAAATTCATCATCATGAGCGCGTAAATCGACTGCTTCAACTATGTGACCTGTTGAACCGTTGCCCTTGTGTTTTTGAGTTTTGACGTTGAATGCGTATAATGCAAGGAAGGCGGATTGACCATTTGCAGCAACCTCCACTTCTGTTCCATTGAAGCTTACTAGCCATTGTCCCAATTGAACGGGCAGATCGGCGTCCCCTTCGTTAGTGCCCATACGCGTTGGCCCAATAGTCAGATCCTCTTGGGAGGTTGGAGTTGCCGGCACTATATCCACCACAGCGCTGGTGGCGTTGATCTCCTTTCGGCTTAGTGAGTGCTGCTCGGTCGCCCGGGCGGCATCAGCAGTGGTCGCTTCCCCTGTTGTTGCTAACGGTATTACCTCGTCCTCTTGAGCGGCGCTAGCTGACTGGGGGGGGATTGGTTGAAATCTGCTGCTCGTGGTGGCGTGGTCGTGGCTAAGGAATCACTCTGTGGTCCACCTGCATACACGTAAGGTGCCTCGTCACGTTCGTTCTCTTCTCATGCTCGTGTAGTCTGATTCTCATCATCAATCTGCATTTGGTGATCGTCTTCCTCCTCCTCGCTGTCTGGAAGCGAGCGCCGCAAATTGTCCCAACGCTTCGTTCCTTTGGAAGGAAGCGAAACGCGCGTCCTGCCCTTTGTTTAGTGTGGTGGATCGCGATGCCGCTGCGGGATGAGTGGTGTTAGTGCGAGCCGTGGGACCTGACTGCTGTTGTCCGCGCGTGGCTGGCTGGGTGTACGAGCGGCTGTATCAGTTGTGTTACTCGCCTTCGCCGCGCCCTCCGATGGTTGGGCATTGGGGTTTGTTGCTGCCTGGCGATTTTGCTTTATGGATTTTCTGATTTCTTGGTCTGCGGCAGTCTCTGCGTCAGTGCCCTTTGGCGGCCGTGTCCGACGTTGTCGCTACTGATTCGCTTCTTCGGGGAATGGACTGCTGCTCAGCGATGGAGACAACCTCTGTCACCTGTGCGGGTGGTCGGGTTGAGTCGACCACTTCAACTTCAGCCGGTAGTAGGGGCTTCACAGTCACGTGAGGTGGTTGGTAAGATTGCAGCATCTTAACCAGGTCCTCCATCGTGTGGACAATAAAGTCCACGCGAGTTGCTCTATGGGTTGACGCCACTTCTTTCTTGAACCTTCGAGGTGATCTCGCTTGAACCAAGGCTAAGTTCTCCGGTTTGGTTCTGCATCTGGACCTGCTGTGACCTGGATTCAAACATTTTGTGCATGGTTTGCCGAAGAATTGCTGAAAGGGGGGAATAGTGATGGTTGCTCCTTCCATTTCTATCGTAGGCACCCCTTTCAAGGAGGGAGGGCATTTACGCTGCGCGAACCGAATGATATGATACCGGTTATCGTACATATCTGTTCGGGTGGCTCGAGCATATTCTACGTCGAGGACCTTTGCCCCTGAGAAGCTGAAGAAGGCACGAGACAGCGCCGCCAGGCCCAACTTGAACCCACCATACACTCGGACAGCGTATTGAGTCTCTATTTGTGCTGGGTGAAGTACCCCGCCCCCTCCTCTTCTGGAAGACGTTCGGTTGCTTTGAGGTTAATGACTTCCGCTCTTAGGCGCAAAGATTTACCGATCCATCGAGCAGCTCCTCTCTGTGAGTAGAAAACTACATGAAGTGTTTGCGCACCATAAAACTATAGCCTTTTGACATCTTTTTGGAAGGCTCTCATCATTGCGTGCCCCGTGTTATCGTCAGTATTGGCCAAGAAAACGTCTTTGAAGATGGCTGCGTGAGCGGTGTTTGACGTCATGCGAATTGTAGCAGGGAGCACCGCCGTGAGGGTGAAGTTGAAATTTGTATCGTGCATATCGTCGATCATTGCTCTATGCTCGCTGATCATTGTTTCCTTGATGAAATTTGGGGTGTGTAGGAGGCCGATATCTCCTCTGATATACGTGAAAAATATGTCATGTTGTCGTGCCGTCCAGGCGCGGATAGATTTGTCACAACTAACGTTTGCTGGGGCCAGTTCTTCACTGCGCATCGCTGCTTGTTCCGCTGTCCACGTTGTTGTGTCCACCTCCCAATCCGTCATCAACGTGTGCAGAAGTTGCTTGATGTGAACTGGATTCTATACCCCAGTAAGCATATGCGTTCGCCGTGCTGCTGCTTCACCGACTCTCGACTGGCTTGGCAAGTGTGCCTGCACTTTGGTGCTCCATGTGCTCATGGCGGCCTGAGTCACTGAGTGTGTCTCGTGAGCCGTTTCTTCGTCCGTTACAGTTGTGTCCGTTAAAGCGCGCCCCTATGGTTGCTCTTTGTTCTCCTCTCCGCGGATCTCCGGTGCGCGCTGTGCCTGCTGCGCATCGATGTCTTCCATCCTCACTTCTTGTGGCAGCGGATTCTGAGCCACTGCAGGTGGGGGGCCTGGACCTTGCGCTCCCATGCCTGGCTCCGCCATCGCCGCGTCCGTCGCTTTTAACTTGTCCTCCCGCTTGTCCCTGCCGCGGTGCTTGCTTTGGGCCACTCACTCCTGAGCGACCTTTCCTATCCAAGGTATTTTTACGAGTGGGCGGTACGCAGTCTCCATTGAAGACAAACACAGAAGAAGAACTACCGAATATACCCCGTATGCGATCGTGGCATGGCCTGCAGCTCAGCACGAAGAAAAAGCGATGGCATTCATGTCAGTCGATGCGGCTATTGAAGCTGTAAGCACTCGTAAGTATATTGATGGTGAAACACTGAGGAATTTACTGTGCGATATCGGTGCAAAGCTTGATACTATCGGGACATGGTACAGCCGAAAAGATCTGTCCGTTAAGTCTTGCCAGTTAATCCGCGAAATGCTCGTGGATGCCGGTAAGTCTGTGCTCGTGAAACAATTTTGCAAAGACGCTAGCTTGAAAAGCTCGTGCTTGAAGTCTCCAATTCCAGTGTGTGCCCCTCCTTTTGGAAGACTAAAAAATAGCCATCTACTTGTCCCTGCAATCACCAAGATTGTTCGAACTTTCGACTGGAACGACTACTGTTCTGAGCTGCTTCACCGTTTTTGCTGCTATCCCGAAGTTGAATCAATGCTAATGGAAATAACACTTCGAGTTGCTGATGGGTTGGAGACAGGGGCAGCCCAAGATGCCCTGCTCCAGAAGGCAGTTTGTCTGGTGAGAAATGATAAACTATTCGCCTCGAAAGCTGCTTGGATTTTTGTAAAATGGGCAATCCGAGGCGGTAGAGTTTACGTGGCGATGTTTAGCGAAATCGACCCAAGTCTTCTGGGTCCAGTCGTTGAGCAGTCTCTTCCGTTCTTGGGTAGTATTAGCAAAACTAGCAATGGTTCTCTTGTGGACCTCGTAGCCATTCTCCCTAAGCGAATACAGTGGCTGACGGGGCAAATTGAGTTGCTGGACAAACCTTTTTCGTGGAAAATGCCAGACGCCAAATTTGCGGAAAACTTGACAGTGGACGCGTTTTTACGTGGTCCTGATTTTATCATGAAGGTGACGAAGGGAATGTAGAAATTCAACAGCGTCTAATATGCAAGTAATTCTACAGCTAAATGGACACGCGAAGACCAAGTGAATGCCTCGTTTGAGATGGAAGCAAGTTCAATGAATGCTGATGCTGTTGTGACTATCACGAAAACGCGCAAGTGGTTTGAGGAACGTCAGCGCAGATTTCTGACATACAAAGTAGAGCCAAACCGGTTGCGAAGGAGATACCAATACGACGAGAAGCGCGTTCGTCTTGAGTAGTATTCCTTTTTGATTCTTTCGATATCTCTTTGAGATACCTGAAGTATTAAAAATGAGAGCTCGAAAACTGAGACAAACCCTCCGACTTCTTTTAGGTCCAAGTTTGTAAAAGTATTAATAGAACTCCACGTCTTTATTCAGACCAGAAGTCCTCGTTTTGAAAAAACGTGTTGATCATCGCGTAAGACACCGCCGGTTGATCCATCGGCACCATGTGGCCAGAATTAAAGACACGAATAAATTGAGAGTATGCGCCCGAGGCTTGTAGTAGTCGAGTGTTGAAAAGAAATCAAATCCGAAAGAAAAGTTTTATTGAGTTAGTTGCTCTTGTCTTGCTTTGCTAGCTCCTTTCTACTTTCCTCCGTAGTCCTCCTAATCACATACACAAATGATAAATTTCGTTGGCAACGCCTATACTCGTCATAAGCGTTGGCGACGAAAATGGCTTGAGGTTTGTATGTGAACTGGATATGCTCAAATCTGACCCTGACATTAATCATGCAAATCATTTGGGATCATCCAATCAGATAGCTCCATTCGACCCACTTCAACTACTATGACCCCTCAGGACACACGGTTGCCAAGCACTGGCCGCGTGCTCATGGCGCGTGCCTAGAGGTAGGAATCCAGGTGAAGTGCAATACCAACAGAATAAAGGCCAAGTTCTCAAACGACCGAACACGGCCAGCATCCGTGTCTTCAGCCGTAACAAACGGACGCTTAGGAGCATTGTTAAACTCCGCGTTACCGGTTCAATCCAGTTCCATAACCCACGCTTGGTTGTCCACCCAATTGCACATGAGATCGGCGTCCCCAGCGTAAATCAGTACTCTCACCCCCGCATCTAGTAGAAGCTTAACATCGTCAGCAGACGAAAGCATTTCATCGAATGCGAAGCCTGCACCGACAGTTGCATCGCACTCTCGCCACGGTTTCGACTTGTGTACGTCAACACCAAGTTTGTCCAACACGCTTGGTGTGTTCAAGTACTGGTCAATATGTTCAAAATGGAAACACTTCATGACGTTCTCTTCAGTACACGGCTCTCGGATATCGTACGGGTTGCGTCCAGACTGGTAGTATAGTCCTTCTAGTGCTCCACAGCAGAGCTGCATAGCATCAACACACCTCGGACGGTATTTTTGACACTGCATGATCAGCTCGTGACACACAGGCTGCGCCTTCCACATATCTATAACAGCTTGTTCGTTCAGCAGCGACACGTTGTACGAGTTGAACGACATGTCCACACTGTGTAGGTACTGCACTGCCGGGTCGGTCAGTTCGTTTCCGACCACAATACCGGCTAAATTAATGTGGACGGCGTCCATACTTAAGTTTCGGAGAATATTGGCTTTTAGCAAGTAACTAGCAGCTGCAGGGACGTAGTGTCCCCCGTAGCTTTCCTCAGCTACGAAGAACGCCCGGTCAGCAAGATGTGGATGCTTTTTAAGAAATTTTGCAAAAACCAGTAGATGTTTCCAGCCACATTGTGCTCTCCGGAGTCGTAGTCCACGGTAGGGCCGTAGCAGTATCCGACGCCGGTGGGTTGGTCTACATTGGCTTGTCCGTTCCATGAGTATGGATTGGTCTTGGTGGATAGATCCGACTGTACGTGGCAAGGACCATTCTCGGCCAAGAGAGCTATTATACTGGAGCAGCCAGGTCCTCCGGTTCACCAGAGAACCAACGGATCCTGTTCAGGATACCTCTGGGATCGAAGGGAGGTGCTTGGTATATCAACCGAGCTATCAAGAACCTTAACTTGTGGTCGGCAGAAACGAATGTATTGGCTTCTACGAGGGCGTGGAAACGCACACTGTCAACACCGTTTAAGGCTCCAACGCCCAGACTCTCGATATTTTGATCAGTGTAATCGTGAGTCAAGAATAACGCGAAAGAATCATCCTCTGCATCCATTTTTGTGATAGCAGTAGCCAATGCCTCACTCAAAGGCACATCGTGAAATTTCTCGCGGTGGTGCATTGCCTTTGGCAGACAAAGTATTTTACGAAACTCTAGCTGGGGGGGGGGGCGCGAAACGAGAAATGCCGCCCGCGCAGTTCAGGCGGATGGAACCTTCTAGAACCTTCTAAAGGGTTCCACGGCCGCCCTATATCTGCCTTTCTGTATTACATACTGAATCTATGCTAAACTGATCCGGCCTCTGATTGGCAGAAACTCTACACCTATCATATCTGATACAAAGTGAGTAAACCAATTCTACGTGATACCCTTTCATAACTTTCTCCATTGTGCATTGAGTATCACGATAACGAACAGCAAAATGAGGAAGGATTGCAGCCGTGCCTTTAGACTTGCCAAAACTATGGCGTTTCTTCATTACTCTACTCTGCCATATCACCATGTCACCTCCTTCATGTGAACTCGGCAGCTAAATGACTAATGTCGCGATGTTACCATCGGCTTTGCCTACACCTGGGGATTTGCAGCATGTCCATCGTCAGAGATGAGTAACTTTCCCAGCTTGCATTGAAGTGTAAGGTCTTGATAGCCCAAACGGTATGTTATCTTTGTTGTAATTGTCTCGATTCCGCTTTACCAAGCCATGTTTCGAAGCGTAGTTGCATCGGCTGGAGCTACCAGGCTTCCTGCACATGTTCATCCGCCCCGGCTTCGAAGTTGTAATGAGGGGGGGGGGCACTTTTCACACACGGACATTAGTTTCTGCGCTAGTTCCACAGTAATTGGACATGAATTGATCCTACACCATCCACAACTAGTCCCGGTGCCTGTGGTAGCTCTTTAGCTTGTCCTCCAAACGAATATTCACCCGCTTTCCCTTCCGTTTGACCCATCAGCTCACTGATTTGAACAATAGCGGCACCCGAGGGAATTAGAACGTCCTTGGCGAGCCCTTCACCTCCAAAAGGCCACTTCATGTCGGCACGTACACCTGCTTGCATTTGCAAACGGTTCGAGAAGAGAAAAGGTATCAGTGCTTCATACCGAGCAACATATGTGCCTACTGATGAATATGAAAGTGATGTACGTGTTTTGATTTAAAAAGATAAGTGACCATTCTTGATGTTTGTCGTACTTCCATCCATCAATACTGAAATCGTGTTCCGTCATGACCCCGAGCAGGAAAGCGAAAAATGAAAAATACAGCTTTTGTAATAAACATTTTAGTTTTTTCGTTATCGAGTACTGGACTAATCACTGTGCTTTTTTATTGTCGTAAATTGGATTTAAATTGGATAGAATTTAGATTAAAAAAACTTAAGCAAGCTCCTAATTTGAGTACCCGGGAATGCAGGGGCCGTTCCAGGAGCGTGCACCAGATGCGAAGAAGGTAAAGTTCGTGTTAAGCACACGGGGTCCTACTATATCAAGTGGGAACTGTTCAAGTGCCGACTTCGAGGTACTGTTGGTGCGGAGGGAATCGTGAAGACCTTAAGGAGGGAGCTTGCACCTGCGACGCCAGCTTCAAGGATGGATGGCACAAACTATATACTGCCTTGAGTATCGAGTCAACCGGGTGTCACGTTGGGGTGGAAGTCATGCCCAGGCGTACAGGTGAGCGTAGGTGAAGGGGTGTCATCCTTATGAGCGCGATCGACCCTTTCCCCGTTTTAGCCCGGCGCATTAGTTTCTTAGTCGTATATTTCCCACCTACTACAAAGAACAAAGATCCAAGTTTTCTTTTCACTATTTACTGCTCGCTACCGTTCTACAACTACAGCCGCTCCTCGCTCGCCCCACGCAAGGCCCCGCTCTACAAACAGCCGCGGACTGCCCAACCCTGTTTAGTAGAGCGACAGGAGCCGCCGCGCGAAGGGGGAGGTGTGCGACAAAGGTATTTGGCGCATAAACAAATCTAGTGTGAGTGCAGCTTGAAAGTTCTCCTTAACTTCACGCGGAGCTATGTAATAAAGAAGAAAAACAGTTTTTGTTTATGTTTCACACTGTTGTGGATGGCAGACCAGACATCAATATTCTCTGGATTTTATATCCGGAGGCGAGTCATTCTGACCCAAAATTACTCTAGCTTCTAATATTGAGATCCCAAACTAACGTTTTCAGAACAGAACTCAAATAAATTTACTTCAGCACTTTATACGCCTGTTATAAAAGATCTACATTGGATTGTCGATTCAAAAGCAGTGGATTTCTTCTCTAGATGTGCAAAACCTGTCATTTCAGCTTAAATCAGAAACAACAGCTTAACTTGAATCAAACGAATGGTAGCGCAAAACTAAATATCTACTGGCCAGTGAATTTACCCAGGTGAAATATGCTTGTGGCGACCAAGACACTCGTGGCTATTGCTATTTACAGGAGTAATTTTAGTTATATTCGAGTTTTTTCTTCGTGGAAATATGGAGCTTCCCGGCATAAGTACTTAGGTATGCCAGCATAAAATCTGTGGAGGGGGGGGGGTAGCATTATTACCTTATTGTAGTAAGCAGATCAAAATGACTTCTCGAAAGTTTGACTACGTCTTTGGATAAAAATCTTCTTTTCTCCAATAGAGACCCCCGCCCTTTTTTCAACTTTAAAAAGTACTGTGCCGCATACTTACATGTACAGTACTGCTAATCGAAGTTTATAAAACTGACATGTGAACAATAAGTTCAATTTAACTAACAATAGCTCACACCGTGCTGCGACGTTACGCATTCTGCTGACATTTATAGCTGACGACCAATACAGCACAGTACATCCATCACTTCATAGATCACCTTTCAGCACGCAATCGACTCGATGGGGGAGGTGAGCCAACACGAAGAGATCGCGCCGGAGGATAACCTCACGCTTAAAAAGGTCGACTTGAGCTCTAAGCGGTACCATGCCGTCTTTATGGTGTGTGGGAGGCTCCGTCAGCTAGCACTTGTATCCATCGCTGCCATGGGGCTCTGGCCCCTTGCCCTACAAGTAATTCTTGTGCCTCAAAGTGTCTTTGGAGACGGACACGGGGATCGATACGAGCAACTGTCGTATTTTGCCTTTGAAAATGACCATTATCAAGTACTCGCACCCCGTCTACTGGACTGCAATGAACTTCAAACGGTGCTCTTCAATGGAGCTACACCAAAGCCAATGACAGATCTCGTGCGTGCGGTACCTCAGCAAATATTTGAGCAAGTTCGTGCTTTTGTGGTGAACAAAACGACCGAGGGCCGAGAAACAATGCTGTCGGTATCCTCGGACATCCTCGGTCTTCCAGCTGACAAGAGTGTCTGCTTTGGAGGTGTAGATGATGAAGGCGCCATACAGATTGAAGCTCTACTAAGCGCTGCGGACTCTACGGTGTTTGGTGTGGACGGGTCGTGTCTGGAGACAAGTGACTCTCACATTCGTATTCGTCTGCAATCGACCGAGTTTTACGTCCCTGACTCAATGGGTGAGCTCAATCCATCCCGAACCTCTGGTGCCATGTTGATCGCATCTCTGGTCGGAGCAAATTTGAACCCTGTGAAGAGCTCATGCTACGAAGCCACCCGTAAGGCGAGGAGCGTAGAGACCCAACGTAACTCTCAGTACCTCCGTCTGGTGTCAGTGTACTCAAAGCAATTGGTAGTCCCAGAAACCTGTGACGAATTCAATCTATACGGTGGAGAACGAGATCAGTTTGGGTGTGCCTATTCAGCTCTTGGTACGTCAGGCGCAGTGGCTAATTTAAATACTGATGGAGCACAACGTACGTACTCGTTCCCAGCACCGTGGCGAATGATTCAGTGTAGCTTGTCTGGTGAGTGCAGCTCCTTGCTATTCACACAGATGTGGCTGTCTGAGTGGACAGTCGAAAAGGCAGCAACTGGTGAGGTGCTGCGTCAAAACTTTGTGAACCACAAGGTGAACGAAGTGACAGTGGACAGCACGTACAGTATTCGACTAGTGATCAGTCTGCAGATCTTGGCACTCGTGGTGACTGCGTTCTTGACAAGTATGCGTGGATGGTACAATATGAAATGTGCCTTCGTATCTCCATGGTCACGAGTCATGAATGCCACGACGAGTTGTACCATTGCAAAGGTAGTTCGCAGTAGCTATAACTTCATTCTGGTCGCTCAAATGGTCTTGGGAATGATCCAATGGCGTAAACAACTGACGATCGATTTGTTGGTCGGAGCTGATACGAACGAAGCTGTACTCCGCGCCTTCGGATGTGGAACGCTGGTAGTAGTACTCGCGATTAATATTGTTTTTGCTCGTGCTGGTGATCTAAAGATGCAAGAGATGGAACCGAGTTTCGCGCACGTAGTGGGATTCCTCTCGTCGATTGTCCTCTTTGCGATCAGCCGATCAAGCTCTGTATCTGCTTCTACTCGAAAGTTACTAGCGACGGGTATGACCTCGGTATCAGCAAGTGACGTTACTAAGTATTCAGGTTGTCGTGGCTCTGCTGTTTGCGCCAAGGAAGTATCACTGGGCATTTACACCGTTGTACTTGTTATCGTCATAGCCGGAGCGACTTTTATTGGATTGACTGCTCACGCTATGTTACAAACCTTAGTTCGCAAATCTCCAAAGATTGGAGTAGGTACTAAGAAGTCCTACAATATCGGAACTCCAAACTCCGACGCAGTGCCACCCGAAGTTAACTCCTTCACGCGTTTTTTGGATGATCGGTCACGGAGTACGTCTCTCTATGATAACAGCACGGAAGTGTATGTGCAACTGTCGCCAGGTGATGCACTGCTCTCCACGCGAGCTCAACTGGAGGCGAGTGGATTTGTTCTGGCGACTTCGATTCTCTTCCGGTATCGAGACCTTCCTCTATTTCTTGTTGCTCGTATTTTACCGATTCAATTTCTCAACTTTTTCAACATGACGGTGACAACGTATGAGCTGATCCACACGAGCAGGATGCTGAATGAAGTTCCAGTAGTGCTCGTTGCAGATCAGGTTATACACACACACTGGTCCAAGTTGAAAGAGGGACGATTGGATTGGATGAACGAATATTTTGGTGGCAATGGGGAAACTTCGTATCGATCTTCAAGAGAGTCCAACAGACGGCAATCTGCTCAAAAGGGAGTGGACACGTAGTTCGCAGGGTGTTTCGCCGCCTTTGGTCGTTGTTGACCTTAATACATACATTGCTTCTAGGATACTAGACTGCACAAAATCTAGAGAATTGGGCTGTTTCGAAAGTCACAGAATCTAAAAAGCTTTCTGTAACGGGGTACGGCTTTCTGTAACGGGGTACGTAGCCCTAAGTGTACCCTGGTTACATGAAGTGTGACACTTCACACTTCAGGAGTATGACACGTCATACTCCGAGATATTTGGTACAAGGTACCAAGGTCGTTCAAAGCCAACCATTGGTTAAATGACATTGCATTTCTATAGGTAACTAACAGTTTGTATTAAACCCAAACTTAATCTACCTATAAATATACTCAGTTTACAATCTACCTAATTTGGGTCACTTCGCTCTCTTTAATAAAAGAGGGAACCTGTGAACTGCCGTTCACTGAGAGTTTGTATACTCTCGGAAGATAACTTCCTCTTGCGCAAGGTGCTGTGTGACCCCGTCACACTTGGTAGCACTTGTAGTCAATCCACGCCATCGCGGGTAGACTACCTGAACCTCCGAAGTTCGTTGCCATGGATAGGAACGACTTCTCCCATTTGAACGACTCTCAGTTCGAGTCGGTTCGGGCATCTTCGGGATGGAGGCCCTGCAGAGCCTGGTGGTGTCAACACCGGCTGAGCAGCTCGAGCGCGTCAATGCATTCAACGCGTACGAGCAGGGCCTCATCGCGCATGTGCGGGAGAACCTGCAGGCTCCGGCGGCGGAAGCAAATCCGCCTCACCCGAAGCCAATACGGCTGAAGGTAAAGCCGTATGAAGGGAAGGAAGGCGTGAACCTTCACTTCTGGGTCCGAGAAGTAGAGCTCGCGATGGACGCGGCTCTGATCTCGACCGAGCAACTGCGTGTTGCTTTTGCCCTCTCCAACCTTAGCGGTCGTGCTAAGAGTTGGGTGTACACTCGGGAAGCAACATCCCCTGGATGTTTCACATCCTGGGCTCAGCTGTGCGAAAAGCTCCGAGCCGCGTTCCTCCCGGCGAACTACGAGTACCGCCAGCGATCGCGCTTCCTCGCGTGTAAACAAGGAAGGCGCGAGCTGCACAAGTATGTGCAAGAGATACGGGAGCTCACGGCGTCCCTAGTGGGAAACTCACTCAATGAACACATCAAGATGACTGTGTTCATGGACGGCCTTCGAGTGGGCCCCGCACGCACTCAGCTGTTCCGGGTGCAGGCAAGCACCCTTGAAGAGGCGATTCAAGTGGCTCTTCAAGAAGAGTACAGCCATCGCCAGGCGCGTACGCCGGCCTCAGCGTGGCCTGGGAGCTCCTTGTCGGCTCCCGGTCGAACAAGCCCCAACGGACCAGTTCCCATGGAACTCGGGTCCGTCGAACAGCTTGACATCCGCTGCTTCGGCTGCGGGAAGATGGGCCACTTCAAGCGCGACTGTCCCGCGGAAAGACTCCGCAGACGGTCCTTCTTCAAGCCCGTCCCCAAGGGTCGCTGGCAGAAGCCAGGATCCCGGGGACAGGGGAACGCCGGGAACCAGTAGGGGCGGGGCACCCTACTGGGGAAGAACTCAGTCTTCGTGATGGGTGCGCGGGTGGCGCGTACCACGGGGACTTAGCCCCTGAGAGTCTTCGCATTCTCGAATTTGCGAAGAGCAGCGGCGGGTTGCTCGTAGTACACGGATGTGTACGGGGATACGATCATTTCTTTAGTATCTTGATCTATTCTGGGGCGTCGAAGAATTTCGCACGCCGCCAGACGGCTGCTCGCAACAGCAACAAGTAGTCCGATGCTCTGAGAGAAAGCAAGGGCAACGGGACGGTGTCAGTACGACTGGCCGACGGGAAGGTCGTCACTGCCCCCAACGTCCAAGTGGATCTGGCTGTCAAGTTTGAAGACTTTGACAGCCTCGAACAGTTCACTGTTCTCGATATGGATCCATATGATATGATCCTGGGCATGCCCTGGCTTGAGAAGCACGAGCCCTGGATCGACTGGCGAGGCAAGGCAATCGGTGCCAGCCGCATTGCGCAGTCCGACAGAGCATTGGTGAGTCATGTTCCCACCTCTGTCAGGACCCGGGGCGCCCGCGAGGGCTGCCAGGGTACCAAAGCATTCGGCAGATGCTTGGGAGTCGTCGACGTATATGACGACTCCGAGGATGTTTTGATGGTGGCCGCGCCCAGAAGAGGCGTCGGCCAAGTGGGTAACTTAGGTCCACAGGCGGATAACTTAGCTCCGCAGACAGCTGCAGCTGTCATGAACACTGAGAACAGCGTGTTCAGAGTGGGTAACAGAGTTCCATTCACGGTCGCCCAGACCTTAATTGAAGAGGAAGACGTCGGATACGCTTCCTGCGTGGGTAACACAGTGTCACACGCGGTCGCCCAGACCTTAACTGAAGAGGAAGACGTCGGATACGCTTCCTGTGTGGGTAACACAGTGCCACACGCGGTCGCCCAGACCTTAACTGAAGAGGAAGGCGTTGAACACGCTTCCTGTGTGGGTACAACAGTACCACACGAGGCCACGAGTGCCTCGGATGTCGTAGCGACGACATCCCTAGACGTGGGCAGCAAAGATTCCCGTCACAGAAGCCGTCGGCAAAGACGCCGCCGCCGCCTCATGTCGGATCCGAACTTCGTTCCGATCGACGTCGCTTCAAGTGACTCGGAGTCCAGGGCCCGGGCTCCTCCGACAAGGCCGGTGGAAGAGTGTTATCAAACTTCGATGGCGAGACAGGTTTACCCGTCAAGGCATCTGGTGTCCACTTGGAACCGTTGCCAGAGGTTGCGGAGATACTGCACCTCGAGAAAATGACGGCTGAGTCTTTCCTGACCAACCTCAAGGCTGGAGAGATTGCTGAGATGGTACTCATGAGACCTGAGACCATTCAGGAGGAGCTGAACTCCTCCTCTTTCTTGGACGAGAACGTCCTGGAAGACATGAACAAGCAGCGTCAGGCGCGCTTGGGTTCTGAGATTCTCAAGAACCCCAAGGATCCGGTGTATCCTTTGGTGACGGAGTATGCGGACGTGGTGAACAAACACCCACCGACCCAACTCCCACCGGATCGAGGCGTACGGCACGAGATTGATCTCGTGCCCGGCACAAAGTATTGTGTCACGAGGCAATGGCCTCTCCCGCGCGAACAGTGCGAGGTCATTGATGCCTTCTTCGCCGCGAAAGCGAAGGCAGGCATGGTGCGGGAATCGAAATCCCCGCACTCGACGCCGACTTTCTGCGTTCGGAAGCCGAACGGAAAGTGGCGTCTGGTTCACGCTTATAACAAGCTGAACAACGCAACGGTGTTGGCCCAAACACCGATCCCACGAAAGGATGTGTTGTTGAACAACATGGCCGGGAGCGTACTGTACAGTGCGCTGGATTTGGTAGACGGATACTACCAAATTCTAATGCGAGAGAGCGACATCCCGCTCACCGCGGTAAGCACTCCAAGCGGCATGCTTTGGGAGTGGCTCGTCATGCCGCAGGGCTTGTCTAACGCCCCGGCGACGTTCAATCGCCTGGTGACGCAATTGTTCCGCCCTTTGCGTACCTTCGTACAGACGTACTTCGACGACATATTCGTCCATAGCCGTACCGAGGGAGGCAAGACAGCCATGGAGGTGCATCTAGGACACCTCCGTCGAGTGTTGGACGTGATGCGAGCGAACAAGCTCTACGCCAACATCGACAAGTGCGTTTTCGCGTCACCAGAGATTAAAGTTCTCGGTTGCTTCGTCAGCAGCGTGGGCGTTCGGGCTGACCCAGACAAGGTCAACGCCATAGCAGCATGGCCGACGCCCCGATCCCAGAAGGATCTTCGAAAGTGGTTGGGCTTGGCCAACTACCTTCACAAGTACAGCGCTGGGTACGCGGGCTTCGCTAAGCCCTTGTCGAGCCTCCTTCAGAAGGACGTCGACTGGCGCTGGGAACAAGAGCACCAGGATGTTTTTGACAGCATCAAGGCCAGTCTCCAAGTGGCCCCTGTCCTGGCTCTGTCGGACGAGACGAAGCCGTTTAGCGTCGTCTGCGATGCCTCCGATTACGCCATCGGGTGTGCATTGCTGCAGGACGACACGGCTGGACAGGAACGAGTCATCTCGTTCCAGTCCAGGCAGCTCAAAGCCGCCGAGCGGAACTACCCTGTCCATGACAAGGAGCTCCTGGCAATGAAATATGCCCTTGTGAAGTTTCGTGTTCACCTTCTGGGCTCTAGGCCCTTTGTGATCTACCGACCACGCGTCCTTGAGGACGGCGACTAACTCGCCTCACCTCTCCCAAAGGATGCTAAGGTGGCTGTCCTTCTTCGCGGAATACAACTTCCGCGTCGAATACAAGCCGGGCAAGCTCAACGTGCTTGCGGACGCCCTCTCTCGGCGTCCCGACTATGAGTTGGCCCACATCACGCGGGTGACAACGGATCTATATGATCGGATACGCATGGCGTATCGGGACGATGAGGCTGTCGCGCCTATCGTCAAGTTCCTTAAGGCCGGAACGAGCGCGAAGTCCGACTGGCTCTCGTCGCGACAGCGCTCACGGCTCCACCGATATGAGTTGAAGAAGGGCCTCCTCTATTATCGGGTGGAGCCCACTGATCCTCCACGGGTGGTCGTACCCAACGACGAGGATCTGAAGTTCGACATCCTCGCGGAGGCGCATGACGCGCCCTCCAGCGGCCACTTGGGCCGCGAGAAGACTTTTCTGTCGGTCTCTCAGTCCTTCTGGTGGACCCACATGTACAAGTGGGTCGCCCGATACGTCAAGACATGCGAAACATGTCAGCGGGTCAAACCCGCAGGGCACTCTTCGGCTCCACTACAGAGCCTGCCCGTACCGGCTGACTGTTGGAAGTCGATGAGTCTTGACTTCATCTTTGGGCTTCCCGCCGACGGACACGGCAACACCGGAATTTTGGTCTTCGTGTGTCGGCTGAGCAAGATGGTACATCTTGCTCTAGCTCCCGTCACCTTTACGGGCTAACAAACCGCACGGTTGT